GGCTGAAGCACCAGCTGAGGGGCTGAGGCCAGCCTACAAGTGGTTGCTGGTCTCGTGGAGTGAGCTAGTATCTCAGAAGGGAGGGCCCAGGGCCCATTCTCCCTCCCACCGCTGCCCCTCAGAACCTCCTTCAATATATGTGACCAGCCATGGGACCTCTTGGCAGGAAGCAGTGGTGTGGTGCCCAGCCCTGTGTTTCCTCCTCTGCGCTATCAAACTGATACTGGTTCTCGCTAAGGGGTCAGGGAGGCCTGCGCTCAGACCACGGAGGGGGCCAGCCCAGCAAGAATGGAACCTGGCAGCGCTGGGTGACCGTCCCTTGGGGAGAAGAAGCCACCTACCCCTGCCACACTGAATACCGAGGCCTGAACGGGGCCACCATTAGCACGTGGAGTGAGGAGCGAGCCTGTCAGCGTTGGTCGCCCTGGGTGGGTCTGGCATATTCACCGAAGCGGATGGTTGGGGCAGAGGACCCAGACTCTCACCCTGGGGAGGGGCGGAAAGAAGCCGGCAGTTAAGTCCTGTGGAGCCTCAAACAGAGCCTTCGTCGGACTCCGGCAACACCGCTGCTCGGATGCCCATGTTAGCAAGCATTTTGGCCACGGCTGCCATTGGAGTTCTTTGGAAAAAGCTGTTCTAATCAGGTAGGAAAGCTAAGAAGAAGCACAGTGGGGCTTGCCGTCAGTGTCTTCCGCACGGCCAGAGTCTGGAGCCGCAGATCAGACAGCATTTACTGTCGCCATATCACTTCGTGCAGAGTGAGAGCTCATCCCTGGCCGTTTGCTGTCCAGCAGGTGGGGTGGAGAAGGCCCTCCATCCTCCAGGCCCCCCCGTTTCTGCCAGAGAACGCATACACAAGGGAGTGTGCGTGTGGGCTTACTCTCCGTATCCCTCTCTGCCACCATGGCCCACTCCTATTCACCTTTGCAGACTGCCTTTCTAGTGCGTTAAATGGGTATTTTTGGTTGAAAGTGTCCGTCAGAGGGAAAATGTCCTTGTTTTGCATTGCATGTATTTTTAATTTACTAAACTAATGTCTTTGGTTTCTTACAATACCCTATGGTGCAGCTGTCACATTTTACTCATTTTACTCTCTCAGGGAAGGGTATACCCTGTGTGTCTGCACCTTCTGGTCACACACAGACATGTATGTTGAAGGATACGTTTGAGAAAATCTTAACAAAGGGTGCCCGGGAAGGGAATTGAAGCCCCAGTCTGCACTCCTATATCCACACAAACACTGGGCAGTACTCAACTTTGTAATTTGTTAATGCCCTAAGAGACAAAATTATATATCCCTTTTCATTACCTTTTTTACCAAGTGCTTTGGATTTTTCTCATGTAAGTTTCTTGTTCATTTTTTTTCACTCATTTCTGATTTGGGGTTTCTGTCTTAGTCTTTTTGATTTAGAGGAGTTTCTTTTGTCTTCTAATTACTAACCCTTCTGTCTGTTTCCAACATCGTATAAAACTTTCCGCCATTCCGTCAGCTATTTATTAACTTAATCCACAGTACCCTTCACTGAACAAGAATCTTTAATTTTGATATATGCACTTTCAGGAACTAGATCAATGAAATAGAACCAAGAGTCCAGAAATAAATCCTCACATACACAGTCAATTGATTTTTGACAAGGGTGCCAAAATAATTCAGTAAAGAAAGAATAGTCTGTTCACAGATGGTGCTGGGACAACTGAATATCCACACTGTGAGATGATAGGAAATATATGTTGGACTTCCCCTCAGTTCCTAACACAGGGCTCCTAAAATCCTTGTAATTTCCTGGGTAATAGGAAATTGTTCTTTTGTTCTAATGAGGCAACTCTGGTGGGTTCCTGGTGGCTCTTGGATGAGGGTTACCAGAAAGACCAAGCCAGGAATAGAAGCTTCGAATACTCAATGTCCCCCCTCCCCCCGCCACCATCCTCCAGAGAGGGGAGAGGGGCTGGAAACGGAGTTAATAATTGATCATGCCTGTGTGAGAAGCCTCTATAAAATCCCAATAGGATGGGTTTTGGGGAGTTTCCAGGCTGGGGAAAGGCATCCACGCCAAGGGAGTGACGCACCCCGGCTCCGCAGGGACAGACGCCCCTGTGCTCAGGACCCTCCCACATCTCTCTTTATGTATCTCTTCACCTGGCTGTTCATCTGTGTCCTTTATCATATCCTTTAATAAACAGGTAAACCTACATGTTTCCCTGAGTTCTGTGAGCCATCCGTTCTAGCCAACTAATGGAACTTGAGAAGGGGGTCACTGGAACTTCTGACTGATGACCCATTGGTCAGAAGCACAGGTGACAATGTGGCCTTGAGAATGGCATCTGAAGGGGGGGCAGTTTCATGGGGCCGGGCCCTTACCTGTGGGATCCGACGCCACCTCCAAGTAGAGAGTATCAGGATTGAGTTAAATTGTAGGACACCCAGCTGATGTTGTAGAGAATTGCTTATCGTTATGGGGAACTCCAACCATTTGCTGACCAGAAGAGTCAGAAGTCAAGTGTTTTGTGTGAGGAGTAAAGGAGACACACAGGATAGAAAACACAATGCAGAAGAACTGGTTTTTTCCCCCATACACGAAGGAAAAGCTGAGATTTTTCCTTTACACACATGAAAAAGAATGACGTTGGACCTCAACCTCATACCATATCCAAAAATTAACTCAAAATGGATCAAAGACGTAAATGTAAGAACTAAAACTACAAATACTTAGAAAAAAACCATAGGTATAAATCTTTGTGACCTTGGATTTGGCAATGATCTCTTAGTTATGACACCCAAAGTACAAATAACTAAAGAAAAAAATAGATAAATTGCACTTCACCAACATTAGCAAGCATACCATCAAGCAAGTAAAAAGACAACACACTGAATCGGAAATTCCAAATCATACATCTGGTACAGGACTTTATCTAGAATACATAAAGGACATTTACAACTCAATGAGAAAAAGCAAATAACCCAGATTTTAAAATGACAAAGGATCTGAACAGACATTTCTCCAAAGAGGGTTTGCAGATGGCCGCTAATCTGGTAAAAAAAAAAAAAAAAGATGTTCAATATCACCAGTCATCAGGGAAATGCAAATCCAAAGCACAACGAAGCACTACTTCTCACTGACTAGGATGGCTAGCATTATAAAGATGAACCACAGGAAGTGTTGGCAAAGGTGTAGAGAAATCAGAACTGTCATTCACTGCTGATGAGAGCGCAAAATGGTGTAGCCACTTTGGAAGACAGTCTGGCGGTTCCTCAAAAGGTTAATTAAACATGGAGTCATCATATGACCCAGCAATTCCACCCCTAGGTGTACACCCAAAAGAAAATAAAATATAAGTCCACACAAAAATGGGTACACAAGTGTTCAGAGCAGCATTATTCCTAATAGGCACAAAGTTGAAATAATCTAGTTTTCATCAACTGACGAATGGATATGGGGTCTAATGGAATACTGTTCGTCCACGAAAAAGAAACGTGAAAGCATCATGCTAAATAAAAGAAACCAGTCGTGAGGAACCACATATTCTAGGCTTCCATGGTATAAAATGTTCAGAAGAGGTAAGTCTATTGAGACAGAAGGTAGGTTAGTGACTGCCTTGGGTGGGGTGGGAGGCATGGAGGGACTTGGAGGTGCTGTCTAAAAGGTACAAGGTTTCTTTGTGGAGAGGATGAAAAATGTTCTAAAACCAAGGTAATAGTTAGCTACATGCCTTTGTGAAAATACAAAAACTCACTGAATTTTACACCTTAAGTGGATGAATCATATGGCGAGTGAATTAAATCTCGATAATCAAGCTGTTACCAAGAAAAAGAATATTACAGTCAACCCCAATGTACTCATCAACTGTATTCAACATTTCAAATCCCCCTACAGTTAGGCCCCAATTTCCAAGTGTGATTTTTTTTCTTAGATGGCCAAAATTGGCATACGTGCTAAAAAAGGTATTGCTCATTGGATTTATTAGGTATTTAAAGGTTTTTAGGAAAATCAGCTGTATTAAATTTGTTACTATGTTTTGAAATATCTAAAGCAGTAGTTCCCAAACTTTGGGTGTGTGTGTGGGTGGGTTGTGGGGGGTGGGGGTTAAAATTCCAATCCCCAGGTAGCACGGCACACCAATTAAATTAGTAGCTGACGGTAAAAGCAGGGCATCAATGGGTTTAATGATTTTCTAGGTGATTCAAGTGTTTTGTAAATTTCGTGAAATTTAATTTAACTATGTAAATTGTGAAAGATGTTTCAGTAGGTTCTAATTTATTAAACTTAGGATTTAATTATTTCTACTGTGCGGATAAAATGGAAGTTTTACACAAACACTGTATTTTTAAGTTCATTAACAAGATCGGCAAGCTGAACTTCAGATAAACACTTTGAACATGTATCGCTAATTCTTAAATTACTATTTAAATATCGAAATCAGAAATTAAGCTGTTCAGGTCGGACCATTGTTAAGCATACCTTCCCCCCATCAGCAACGTCCCCTTAGGCCTGGAAACCCGCAGGGACAGCTGGGTCACTGAGTGTTTCACAAGCCCGTGCTCAGGCTGCCGGAGAGTTCAAGTTCGGCAGGCGCGTTTCTTTTCAGCCACTGCCCGGAAAGGGATGGCACTGGCCAGGAAGTTTTGTCTGGAATCCCCGCAGCCCGGGCAGCGACTCCAGGGTGACTTGCTGGCCATGCCCACGTCGCCGCGGCTCGGAGGCGGGTGAAGCTCCGGGACGCGCGGCGCGAGCCGGGGAGACGCGCGGTCGCAGCGCCGAGATGGACCCGGGAGCGCGGCGCGCGCTGCTCGCGCTGCTCGCGCTGCTCCTGCTGCGGACCGTGGCCGCGCTCGGGCGGCCGCCGCGTGAGTCCGGGCCTCCGGGGGACGAGACCGAAACCAGCTTCGCTGAGCCCCTGGGGTGGCCAAGTGCGGGGGGCGGGGGACGGCTCGGCCCCGAGCGCAGCCTGTCCCCGACTCTCCCGGGAGGGGCTCCGCCGCCGGGTGCGGGCGGGTTTGCGGGTCCCCCCGCCCCCGCCGCAGCTCCCCAGGGTGGCGCTCGGAGCCACCCGCCCCCTCCGCCGACTGTGACGCTTTTAACTACTTTTAACTCCAAATCTGTGCGTTTCTCATCCGGGCTGAGCTAGGGTCCCCGGGCCCTCGGACTCCGAGCTGGGTGCCCTCGTTCTGCTTTGGGCCATGTCGTGTTTTCTCCTGTCGTCCCCAAACAGGAAGTTCTTCTCCCCAAAGACGACGTGGGCCCGGCCGGGGTGTTGAGGCTCAGGGCTGGCGGAGGGCAGCAGGCCTCGGCTGAGCGGGGTCCCTCCCCGCCCCCCCGCACCCGGTCTCGCCGGCACGTGGGGGGCGCTGCTGGAGCGAGCGGGGGGCTAGGCTTCCCGCGCCCCTCCTCCCACCCCTTTCCAACTCGGGGTCAGGGGAGGCTCCCGAGACTGATCTGACCCCGGCCTTACTGACTCTTGGCGGCCGGTTATTCTTTTGCCTGGAAAAACTGTAGGTTTTCATCATAACGGTGATTTCTGGACTTTTGAACTGAACGGAAGAGTTCTCTTTTTCAGCCGGGTGGGGGGGGGTTGATTTGCAATGTTAATCGTACTGTACATAACTAATGGGTTTTTACTAAAGGATGCCAACGCGATGACTAACATTTAACTCAGTTTTAAATCACCTTCGTCTCTGTGATGTGGTTTGACTCCACCCAGCATTGGGAGGTAGGAACCAGTCATAGGGCGATTTTACTAGCGTTAACTGGCCCTCGGGTTATCCTTCCCCAGGTTAGAAAGAACGTGGGATCTGGTTCTCTGATGAAAAATGAAGTACCACCACTGTTCCTAATCTCAGGTGACCGTGACTCTTTGCACACCTTCTACACGGTCTGAGAACAACGCTTGGAGGGAAGGTCGTATGTGTATCCACGTTACAAAGATGACAAGAATGAGGCATGACCTGCTCATGGGTAATTTTGTTCCACGTTACCCTGGGCTTTTGAGGCAGAACCAGCGCCTCCATAGCTGTGATTCTTAAATGTCACACCACAGTAGAGGTTGAATCCTCAATTTGATGTGGAACAGAGATATTCGTTGTTCACGCGTAGAAAGGGAGTAACAGAGCATGAGTTGCACTGTTCTGGACCCCAGGGAGGTAGCAGGGAGCCAAGTCCTTGCCCTCTGGCATTTTGTGTTCTCTTGGGGAGATGACAATAAACTAACAAGAGGACCCAGCGCCCCAGGTAGCGGCGGGAGCTGTGGAGACCGGTGAGGTGGGGAGGCCGGGGGCAGGCTCCTCTCAGGCTGGCGGTGGAGCCGAGAGCTGAAGGAAACAGGGCTGGTGCCGGCTGAAAGCTTCCCAGACGAGCTGAGTGGACCCCGCAAGTGGAGTGGAAGCAGGGACTGCACCCTCGGGGAAACTGACCCCTGTCTGTGGTGAGGACCGTTGTGTGCATCGTAGGATGTGCTTTACTCACGGGGTGTTAGTAGCAATCCCCCGGTTATGACGGTCACAAGTGTCTCCAGACGTTGCCAAGCGTCTGCTGGGAGACACAGCTCCCCAGTTAGGAGCGTCTGGGGTACAGCAGAAGCATAGGGACCAGAGGCCGGGACTCGTCAGGGGCTCAGCCACGGGCCACAGGCCAGGCCTCCTAGGACCTCACGGGCTGCCGTGTGGGTTCCAGCCGAGGACGGACCTGATCTGGCACAGCTTTGGGAAGGGTTGCTCTCGCTGGTCTGCAGGAGGCAGGGGTGAAGGAAGTCGCAGTCAGAGCCGGGAGCAGCCGGGAAACTGGTGCTGGGTGCCGGCCGGGCCTGGGGGCGGGCAGACGAGGAGAAGAGCAGCATCCTGGATGTATTCAAGAGGAAGTTGCCGAAGGACCCCGGTGCCGTGTGAGAGACAGAGAAAAGTCAAAGGCGACTCTGTTCTTTAAAAATTATTTTATTATTTTAAACGTTTTATTGGCCTGAGCAATGGGGTGATAGGTGATGCCATTTCTGAGATGGGGAAGGCAGAAGAAAGAGCAGCTTGGGGGAAATCAAGAGTTAGACTTAAGTTTGATTTTTCCAATTCCTCATCCAACTGGTCGTGTCCTGTCGGCAGTTGGGCGTAAGAATCTGGAGTTCAGGGCCAGAGATGAAAACCAAGGAGTCGTCATCGATCCATCTAACAAGCATGTACTGAGCCCCTAGTACATGCCAGGAGCTGTTCTAGGCCTTGGGCGTTCATCAGCGGAAGGAAGGGAAACTCTCACTTGCTCTTACCGGGGCTTCTTCCGTGTTTGCTCTGAAAGTGTCTTAGTTATGGATCAGCAGATCTGCCAGCATTTCACGGCAAACATTTACACAGGAAAGGGTTTAGAGACGGGAGTCGTGGAAAAAACCCAACAGTGAATTCCTCAGCACTTGGATCCAATTCGCCCTGAGCATCAACCCCTGAGCTCGGCTGCCCCAGCGAGAGACCCTTGGGATCTGAGAGTTTGTGGGCTGCAGGGGAGATTGCCCTAAATGTGGGAAGTGGGGCAGAGGCTGGGAGCTCCGAGGGGGGTGGTGGCAGCCCCCCGGGGGGGCGAGAGCACCCAGGCCTGTGGCGGAGGGCGGAGAGGCCCTGCAGCGCACGTGCAGTGGGGTGGGCCCAGACACAGCTGGTGCTGTGAGTTTGACCCTGCAGGGCTGTGGCCCGTCCGCCCCCCCACCCCGCTTGCAGCTCACGGAGCTGTCCTCTTGCCTTCCCCCCAGGGTCCCATTCCCTGCGCTACCTCTTCATGGGCGCCTCGGTGCCGGACCTTGGGCTGCCCCTGTTTGAGGCCTTGGGCTACGTGGACGACCAGCTATTCGTGTCCTACAGTCACGAGAGTCGCCGTGCAGAGCCCCGCGCCCAGTGGGTCCGGGGCGGGACCGCCAGCCCGCTGTGGCTGCAGCTGAGTCAGAGCCTGAAAGGGTGGGATCACATGTTCATCGTTGACTTCTGGACCATCATGGACAATCACAACCATAGCAAGGGTACGTGGAGAGGGCGCTCTCCTTTCCGAGGTGGGCAGAGCGCATTCCTGTAGCTCGAAGATGGCTCTGGGTGAGCAAGCAGGGAGTCTGAGGTCCTGGGGGAGGAGGGCAGGAGTCTGAGGTCCTGGGGTCCCTGGGGATGGATGCTGAGACAGGGACTTACTGCTTTGGTTTCAGTAACGAAGCTCGGGGTGTTGTCAGAGTCCCACACCCTGCAAGTGATCCTGGGTTGCGAGGTGCAAGAGGACAACAGCACCAGGGGATTCTGGAAGTACGGGTACGATGGGCAGAACCATCTGGAATTCTGCCCTGAGACGCTGGACTGGAGAGCAGCAGAGCCCAAGGCCCAGGCCACCAAGCTGGAGTGGGAAGTGAACAAGATTCGAGCCAAACAGAACAGGGCCTACCTCGAGAGGGACTGCCCGGAGCAGCTGCAGCGCTTGCTGGAGCTGGGGAGAGGGGCCCTGGACCGGCAAGGTATGGTGGGAGCGCTCCGTCTGCCCGCAGACTCTCCCGATGCAGCAGCGTCCGCAGGTGCCGGGTGAGGTCCGGGCTGCACTTTCCCAGGGGGCCAGGGTCACGTGACTCTCGGGGAAGGCGCTGAGGTCTGAGGTCTCCACCTTATAACTGAGATGTAGGACCCAGCCCAGGGGCATGGTTTTAGGGTGTTTTTTTTTTTTTCTCCCTACATGTGGCCAAAGACGTATCTGTGATCTTTTGATTTAACTGAGAACCCTGTGTATATTTATACCTTTTAGGAATTTCAGAGATGTCAATTATCACATGAATGCCAAGCCAAGCAATTACCAAAGGAGGCAACCAGGCAGAGTAGCAGAATCCTTTGGAGGTTAAAGGTTACTTTCACAGAACAGAGAGAGAGTCCCTGAGGGCTTCCAATCTTCCAGGGCCCCTTCTTACAAGAATCCTTACTGGGCTGAGCCAGGTAGAATGAACCAATAGGGCTTAGTCAATCAAATCCACATACAGGGGAATTTCATCCGATTCCATTTACTGTATTGACAAAGGATAGAAGCCGCGAGATGCAGGTATGCATATTTATATACGGGACAGGAGCACGGGCTTGACTATCTACCATGCAGCACCCCATCGCAGCTGAGTCCTGCGACATGGTTTAGGACACAGTATGGTGACTCACGCAGCAGCATCGGCCTAGGGTTGGCTTCTTCCTCCAGCCCGTAGAGAAAGGGAAGTGAAAGTTCCAGTCTTCTTGGCAAGGGTAGAAAGCTCCCCTCTCCAGATCCTTCCTCCTTCCTGTCCAGTGCCTCCTTTGGTGAAGGTGACCCATCACGTGGCCTCGGCGGTGAGCACCCTACAGTGTCAGGCTCTGAACTTCTACCCGCGGAACATCACCATGAAGTGGCTGAAGGACAGGCAGCCCCTGGATGCCAAGGACGTTGAGCTGAAAGACGTGCTGCCCAATGGGGATGGGACCTACCAGGGCTGGGTGGCGCTGGCCGTGCCCCCTGGGGAAGAGTGGAGATACACCTGCCAGGTGGAGCACCCAGGCCTGGATCAGCCCCTCACTGCCTCCTGGGGTACGGATGGGAGCTGGGGAGGGCGGTGGGAAAAGTCCCTTGTGGGCGGAACCAGAGGGGTCAGCATGGCAGTGAGGGGAGGGTCTGAGCCGGGCTGGGGCCGCAGTTCCAGCTTTCACTTGCTTTTGCTGTTTTAGAACCCCCGGTGCCTGGCATCCTGCTCACTGGAGTCATCGGTGGGATCGCTGTCTGCGTCATCCTCGTTTTTATTGGAATTCTGTTCAGAATCTTAAGGAAAAGGCAGGCTTCGCGTGAGTAGGAAGAAGGAGGAAGTCTCTCAGTTCCTCTGACCCCAGGACACACTAATGCATCAGGAAGCGGGCTGAGGGAGGGCGAAGGGGATTTGGTGTCCATCCGAAAGAAGCCTGTTCCTCTTTTTCTCTTTGGGGACACAGCTTCCGCCGCGGGAGCAGGAATGAATTGTTTTCCTAGAATGAAAGCTCCAAATTCAACAAACTTCTTTTGAGCACCTGCTGTTTTGCGAGATGCTCCCTAAAGTAGTACATGGGCTTTGCAGTTGGGTTCATCGCTGTTGCTATTCTCAGAACCCACATCTAGAAGGGAATGAAATCTGTAGCACAAGCAAACACAGTTAAAGGAGAGCCCTTAAGGTCCTAAGACAGACCATTCTCTGGGTGTCAAAAGAAGGAATGGCCATGACCTGCTGAGGATTGACCAAGGATTCTGGGCCTTGAGGTAGATGGCTTTAGGAAAGGTTGAGGACAAGGGGGGTCTACCCAGATGGGGCAGCCGTGCACATGGCAGAGCATGAGGCATAGTGGGAGGTGAGAAATGATTGTGTCTCCGCCTGTCCATCACCAGGGTGCACGCCTGCCTCCTGAGCATCGGGGGGTGGGGGGGCAGATGGAAGCCAGCCAGGCGGAGCTCTGGGGGCCTCAAGGATGCTAGCCAGGAAGCCCTGGGAAGTCAGTGCAGGGACAGTATGGGGGACACGGTCTGGGCAGTTGGAGAATGAGTGTCAGGAGGTGAGATGGGAGGCAAGGAGCCAGCTAGAGAGCTGGTAAGCAACTCCAGGTGAGAGATGATGGTGCTCGGGGAAGGGGGTGGTCCCAGTTGAGGTGAATGGATGTGGGAGGTGAGGACCAGGGACTAGGCAGCAGGGTGCTCGGGTCTGCGATGCCCCTTTTCTGTCTCTTGTCTCTGCAGGAGGAGCCTTGGGGGACTACGTCTTGGCTGAATGTACGTGACAGCCTGCAGACCCCTCGTGGGGAGGAGACGTGGAGACTCAAAGAGAGGGGGTACCCCTGTGGCCTTCTTCATGTTCCAGGGCAGAATTGGACTGAACGAACAGGAACTGCCCCAGGAACTCTCTGCTTGTGGCCTGCCATGTTCATTTTTGAGAAGTTTCTCCCATTTTGGTTTTTGAGTTCCTGCATGCCTATGAGCCCCAGCGCCGGCCTCTGGGCAGAACCAGCTGCCTTGAATCTCAAGCTGCCTCTAGGGCCTGCCTTCATTTCTGCATCACTTCCCACTCCGTATGCCCATGTCATCTCATCTCCTACCTCTGGAATAACGCTCCTGAAATTTGGGAGACTCACGGTTCCTTTCAACATCTGAGAAAAACGATGAACTTTCTCCCCGGGACATAACACTCTCATGCCCTTACCAGAATTTTGCACACACATCCAGGCATTTCCTAGGCCCATCCAATTGCCTTTTGATCCTCTCTCTCTCTGTTACCCAGTAGTTCAACTGTCACCAAGCCCTGTGGTCTCTTCCACCAGAGGGTGAAGTGGGTCATTGTACAGCGGTGAAGGCCGTGCACTGTACAACCCATGGAGGTACCCTCGGAAGAGCCATTGTGGATGCCTGTGTTTATTCATGATAGTTTTCCAGAAAGTGGGCAGGAAACGTCTTGAGGAGGGGTATGTTTTTCTAACTGACAGCAAGGTGTCAAACAGGTTTCCCCAGAGTCACGATTTACACGAATGCGTTCACAGTGCCTCTCTGGCATGCCAGGCTTGAAGTAACGCAGTCATTTCCTACTTGGATTCTGCTAATGAAATGATAAGGAAAGTGATCCTAAGGATGATGATGGTGATGATAAGGTGGCTGACACTTATAAAAAAAAGCACTTGCTGCCAGACTGAGTTCTGAGCACCTGCTTACCTTATGATTCTTACCATAATTCTCTGATATAAGAACTATTATCCTCATGGGTTGTTTAGGTGAACAAAATGAAGTAGGGAGTATCTCACAGCCTTCCAGGGCTAGAGAGGTTTCAGCTCAGTCAGTCTGACTCTGGTCCATCTCACATGCCATGGCATTAGATGCTTTAGATGTGCCAGGAAATGGGGGGGTGGCACGGCTCTTCTGTGGCCCCAGTGTCTTCATTCTCAGCGAGCTTGACCAAAGCGAAGGGAAAACAGCAGAAAATAACCTCAGCCATTTCCTTTCGAAGTCTCTGCGGAAAGAAATCCAGCGTGTGGCCGGCTTACTCTGCTGCCACCCCAGTCGGCTCTGTCTGGCGCGTCTCTCGGGCCCTGGGTCCGGACGGGCATCGGCGGTGTCCCTCAGTGGATGTGTTGGACCCCACAGTGTTTTTGTTCTGCCCGCGCCTCCAGAGTCAGAAGCCGGGTGGCATTTCCCTCCAGGAACCGGAGCGACTGTCTGTCGTATTAAAGATGGTAAAACAGATGCCACCGAGTGGCCTGGGGGTACCCTGGCGTGTTCCCGGGGCTCCTGGGAGTCTGGTTCTCTTCCCCAACTGTGCACATTAAGAAAAGAAACTCATCAGGAATTACTCCATTCTGGGCAAGTAATTCATCGGACCATGTTCAAAAGAATACTAACACAGACACCCGGATGGCCGGTGTTTCCTTTCTGTTGCTATGTATGTTTGGCCACTTTACTGGCAACAAGGCATTCTGTCTCCCATGGCAGGTGCCTCAGAAGACCAAATAAAGCTCTATGGTTTGTTTGGTAGTTATTGAATTTGGGCAAAGAGATCTCGACAATTTTTTTTTTAACTTTTTTTTCTGGTTACGAAAGTTAGGTGGATAAAAGTACATGTAATTTGTGCTTATTGTCAAAAAGCTGAAAATGAGTTTGAATTGAATAAATTGAAACTATCATTCCATTAGCTAGTGATAAACCCTATGAATGATCTGTGTATTTCCTCTCAGTATTGCTATATTAAAATATATAAAATCAACAAATACACTTAAATAAGCATACAATTAATTGTGTTGTATACTGTATGATTTTTTTTTAGGGGCCAAGGGGTAGAGGGAGAGAGAGAGAACCTTAAGCAGGCTCCACGCCCAGTGCAGAGCCCAGCGTGGGCCTCAATCTCAGTCACAACTTCAGCCAAAATTCAGAGTCAGATGCTTAACTGACTGAGCCACCCAGGCACCACGGTATGATTTTTCTTAGGTACTTATCAATGTTATGGATTAATCAACTTAATCATTGGGTCATTTGTGGGACATTGATATGCTTCTGATTTTTTTACATTTTGTTTTATGGAATATCTTCATTAAACTCTGGTAGCTGAATTAGTTGTTTTTCCTCACTCTAGAAACATTATCATCTAAGCTGTTACGTGTTGGTTATTTTACTTCCAAACCATATTGAAAGCACACCGACAGATTCTCTCTGGATATTATTCTGTACTCAGAACATACTGCCCAAAAGGTTCCCTTGCTCTTCCAGCTCATTAAGGATACAACTAATTAGGGAATGGTGTGTGTTATATTGGTTTTCTTTCACACAGACTGAGATTTCAAGAAACACCTGTCTTCACAGTGGGACTTTCACTAACCATTGGCGATTGTGGCCTCTTACTTTTCTTTTTATATATAT